TTTGTGAATTCTCTCAAGCAATGAAATGTATTAAATCCTTCTGCCTTCAGTTTTTAACTGGTAACTTTTATATGTTACTTAGTTTTTTAGATGCTAAAAAATGTGGTTTGATAAGTGGTTGCTAAGGGTTAGGGCTGGGAAGAGGCTGTTACTATAAAGGATAATGCAAGGGAGATTCTTTGGGGGTGATGGAAGAATTTTATTAATATATCTTGGTGGTGTTAATTACATGAATCTGTACAAGTGATAAGATTACATGGACTAATACATCAAAAAAGTGCACATAAAATCTGGTGAATCAGAATATGATCTGTTCTGTAGTTTAGTTAATAGCTTTGTGCTGGCCAGGCGCAGTGGCTCACACCTGTAATTCTAGCATTTGGGAAGCTGAGGCAGGCCAATCACCTGAGGTTAGGAGTTCAAGACGAGCCTGGCCAACATGGTGAAACCCTGTCTCTACTAAAAAGGCAAAGAAGTTAGTCAGGTGTGGTGGTGGGCACCTGTAATCCTAGCTACTTGGGAGGCTGAGCCAGGATAATCGCTTTAGCCCAGGAGGCGGAGGCTTCAGTGAGTTGAGATTGTGCCATTGCACTCCAGCCTGGACAAGAGTGAGACTCCGTCTCAGGAAAAAAAAAAAAAAAAGGTTTGTGCCAGTTGTAAATTTCCTGGTTTTAATAATGTCCAATGGTTACTAAGATTTTATCTGTTCAGGGAAGGATACATGAGAACTCTGTGTTAGTTTTATATGACTTCTTTTGAGTCTAAAATTATTATAAAATAAATTTCTTAAAAATGCAGTTTATACTTCTATTTAATATACTAACACTTTTGTGTGTCTTAGAGGTAGATGTGTGAGTTTAGTTCTTAGAGTTCTTGAGGGGGACTGGATGTTATTTGCATTTATTCAATCATTTAATTACTATTAAGCATCTACCGTAGGAGGCAATATAATGTTTTGGTTAAGCAAATAGTCATTTGAGTTAGATCTGTTTCAAAGCTTTTCTCTACTACATTTTAGTTGTGTGACTTTGGAGAATTTACTTAATCTCTCTGAGCTTCTGCATCTAAATTGGGCATTGTTGATAATCATTATCAAAAATGATGATATGAATAGTGACTCACATTTACTGAACATGTACTGTGTGACATGTTATTATTTGCACTTTGTATAATTTAACTCGTTTAATCCTCACAATTCTATGAGAGAGGTACTGTTTTCATGTTTTCAGAAGTTTAGTCGCTTAATCAACATCACACAACTAGGAAATGGAGATGCCTAGATTAAAACCCTGGCAGTCTGGATTTTCTGCTTTTGACTATGTAGACTAGCTTGTTGCACTAAGCCTTCCACCAAGTACCAAAAAGCAGAAGGAAATATATTTCACTTTGGGAGGCTGAGGCAGGAGGATCACTTGAGGCAGGAGGATCACTTGAGGCCAGGAGGTTGAGGCTAGCCTGGGCAACACAGTGATACTTGGTCTCTACAAAAAATAATAAAATTAGGCAGGCAAAATGGTGGGCTCTTGTAGTCTAGCTACTTGGGAGGCTGAGGCAGGAGGATCACTTGAGCCCAGGAGTTTGAGGCTGCAGTGAGCTATGATCATGCCACTGCCTGCACTCCAGCCTGGGTGACAGGCTGCATGTGGACATTCTGTTATACCAGCATTTGTTGAGAAGACTATCCTTTCTTCATTGAATTGCTTCTGGTGCTGTGTCAGAGGTCAGCTGATTGCAATGGGTGTGGTCGTTTTTATGTTCTGTTGATCAGTCATTTTCAGTCTTTGCCAATTTAACTGATTAAAAGATCTCATACACCAGCCTGGCCAACATGGTGAAACCCTGTCTCTACTAAAAATACAAAAATTAGCCGGGTGTGGTGGCTTGTGCCTGTAACGCCAGCTACTCTGGAGGCTGAGGCAGGAGAATCACGTGAATGCAGGAGACAAAGATTGCAATGAGCAGAGATGGTGCCACTACACTCCAGCCTGGGCGACAGGGAGACTCCATCTCAACAACAACAAAATAACTCATACAGCTCAACAGTAGAAAAACAACCCGATTAAAAAATATGCAAAGGACCTGAATAGACATTTCTGCAAAGATACAGAAATGGCCAATAGACATATGAAAATGTATTCAACATCATTAATCATCCGGGAAATGGAAATGAGAGCCACTATATGAGATGCCACTTCACACCCATTAGGATGGCTATTATCAAAAAGTTAACAGATAATAGAGGATGTGGAGAAAACAGAACCCTTGGATATTGTTGGTTGTAGGAATGTAGATTGGTGCAGCTATTATGGAAAACAGTGTGGAGGTTTCTAAAGAAATTGAAACTAGAACTACTACATGACCCAGCAATCCCTCCTCTGGGAATATGTTCAGAAGAAATGAGATCACCACCTCATGAAGATATCTGCACTTTGGTGTTTTTTTGCAGCACTGTTCACAATAACCAGGATATGAAAACAACCTGTTGACAGCTGAATGAGTGAAGCAACTGTAGTATATATGTAAAATAAAATATTACTCAGCCTTGAAAAAGAAGATACCATCCTGGTCAACATGGTGAAACCCCGTCTCTACTAAAAATACAAAAATTAGCTGGGCATGGTGGCGCACGCCTGTAGTCCCAGCTACTCGGGAGGCTGAGGCAGGAGAATTGCCTGAACCCAGGAGGCGGAGGTTGCGGTGAGCCGAGATCGCGCCATTGCACTCCAGCCGGGGT